ATAAAAGTGAAGATAAAATAAGTTCAAGCATACATACTTCTGTGCGTCAGTCAGAATACTAATCGAACCTCATCCTGAAATTATAATTAATTAATCGTTGGATTTTTGAAGTGAAAAAAATTGACTATTGAATTTAATGCAATCCCTTAAAATCATGGAAGTGAGGCTGTTCAGCCTCGTGCTCATGCTTCTCCAGATCGAGGCTACCAGAATCCAAAATGGCGACCTACTCCATGGTATGATCTCTGTTGTGTCTGTAAGTGACCCTCTGTAAGTACCTTTATTCCTTTTCTTATCAATGATTTCATGATTCCTTATTGTTCTGTGTATAGTATAATGTAAACAGATAGTATTTTGGGAATGCTACTAAAAGCTACTTATTTATCATAAAGACTAAATAAAATGTTTTGAAAGATATAATTAAAAGTCATATCAAGCTTCACATGAAATGATATGCTTCAGTACTTGTATATCTGGCGATGTGTGCAAATGTCTTGCTGCTTTGTTGAATTTTTCAGTTAACTAATCTTTGAATTTATATTTTATATCAGTGATGGCTAACCAAGATGATAGATTTCCCCTCCCTCTTCCCCCCGWACCAAAGAAACAAAGGGTAACAGCAATCACAACTGACAATGAGAAYAGCCAAGTAAAGAAGGAGGAGGAAAATAGATTTACTCGTTCGGTAAGAGCCCCTAGAGATTGGTCAAAATGTTTTATATGTAAAAACAAAACATATAAAAAAGAAAAAAAAATGCTAAATGTCTGCACATTTGAGGCATGTGATAGTATAAGGAAAGCAGCAGAAATTAAAGAAGATGTGGACATGCTGCACACTCTCCGAAGTATTAATTACGACCTTATAGCAGCCGAAGCGAAGTACCATAAGAACTGCTTTGCTTTGTATATCAGMAAGAAATCCTTWAAGTATCAAGATAGTAAAGGTGATTCGCTTTATGAAACTGCATTCCAGGAGATGGTGAAAGATATTGGAATAGGTATAAATCAAGGTAAAGCATACGACATGGCATCGCTACTTGATAAGTATAAAGGATTCCTTAAGAATAATGGTCTAAACGCAGACMGCTACACCAAGCAACGTCTTAAAGTGCRCTTACAAAAACACTTTGCTGATAGCATCGTGTTCCATCAGCCAAATGAACGAAATAAACCAGAAATTGTCTACTCTAGCGAAATAAAGGTACAAGATGTACTGAATGCCTGGGCACGATTCCAACAGGCTGAACCAAAAGAAGAAGAACCAGGCGAAGTTAAGAAAGAAGATATTCTTCGTGTGGCAAGCTATATCAGATACGAAATAAAAAAATGTAAGGGTATTACCACAAGGCCTCTTGACACGAAAGATATAAGTTTAGAGTCAACCAAACACTWGATACCTGACTGTCTTTATTGGCTAATACGGCTGCTCATTACGTCTGAAGGCAAGGGTGACTGGAAAGGCAGATCAAGCACGCGTACCAACATGGTAGAAGAACGACAAGTTTTGAGTATTGCACAAGACATCATCCATTGCTGCACAAACAGTCGTGTAAAGCTGCCAAAGCACGTAAGTCTGGCTATGTGTGTTTACCACTTAACCTCATCAAAACAACTCATAGCACTTTTGAACCGGATCGGCCATTGCTGCTCCTACGATGAGGTCCGAGCAGTAGACACAAGCATTGCATTAGAAGTGCTAGCCAAAGCAGAAGAACATGGTACAGTGATTCTTTCCAATATATCACCAGGCCCTTTTGTACAACTCGCCGCTGACAACAATGACCTGAATGAGGAAACTCTAGACGGCAAGAAAACTACACACGCTACCACCATGGTGGTTTATCAACGAAAAACGTTCGGTCCAGTTCCACCGCCGAACCCCCTTGTAGATCACACCAATAGAAGRAGATCCCTGCAGACATGTTTAAACGTTTACGAACTGCAAGATTGTTCTGCACATGGCAAGCGCCCTGCTGTTACAGCGTACATTAATGAGGTCGATCAGGAATGGTATAAAGGAGAGAACACGGCCTTCAGAGAAGCAAGTCGCACMGAAGGTATCTGGAAACTACTAAGACTAAACCCATCAAATGGAGAAGTAACAGAAGAGCAGCCTGTTCCAGGATGGAGTGGTTTTAATTCAATTCTATTCCCAGACATGCCAGGAGAAACTAACATTGGCTACTGCCCGATGRTAGATGGTGCCTCAACTGAATTTAGTACTATATACACAGTTCTCAAACATGCCCAGRTGATAAGCGCAAGCTTGGGCCAAGAAGACACTGTCATCACCTTTGATCTTCTTATCTACATAAAGGCAAAACAAATTCAATGGAGGTTTCCTGATGAATTTTCTGATGTTGTTATTCGCATGGGAGGTTTTCACATTGCGCTGAATTTCTTATCATTGATCGGAAAAAAGTACCTTAACTCAGGACTTGACGATCTCCTTATAGAATCTGGGGTATATGCTGCTGGAACAACAACTGCTGTTATCATGAAGGGCAAGTCCTACAATCGTGGAGTCAGAGCCCACAAGTTGCTAATGGAGGCTTTCTTCCGTCTGATGTGGAGAGCATTTGTTCAGTGGTATAACAACTCCCATGTCRACAGACACATTGAGGAAGAMGACGCCCTAAAGAAGATTACTGATGGAGTCAATGTCGTAAAGAACAAGGGTAACATATCCCAAACGATTCAAGACCTAGAAGCAGATCTGACCAATCTAACATCTTTGTTTAAAGCCTTCATATCAGAAGCTAAAGCCAAATCCAGGATGTTTTCCTTTTGGGAGCAGTATGGTTCTACGGTTAACGCACTTCTACAATTTATCAAAGCAGAAAGGATTGGGAACTGGGAGCTACATCTTTCCACTGTCGCAACTTTGACACCTCACTTCTTTGCAATGGACAGACCGAACTATGCCCGCTGGTTGCCCGTTTACCTTGCTGACATGCATCAACTCAAGACAAAGCATCCACGCGTATACCAGGAGTTTTCTACAGGTGGTCATTCTATTAGTCGCTCCGGTCAACCATTTTCACAAGTATGGACTGATATGGCTCTAGAACAGTCCATAAATGCTGATTCAAAGTCTTTGGGAGGAATTGTTGGAATATCCCAAAGTCCAGCGGCACTTGAAAGGTGGTTTTTGTCTATTCATGA